CCAAGTTTCAGCTTCGCGATACCTTTTATTTATGTATCGCGAAAATTAAGAAGATATCTATTTATACGAGAGTAAAAATGATATGAGAAATTTCTTATATAAAATAATCCATTTTCAAATCACAAAATTAGATCATCTATTATTTGGTTTTAATGATCTTACTAGTATGATGAATAATATTATGTATCGTATACTCTTTGAATATATATTCAAAATAAGATTGAAACAACGCGAAAATTCAAATACGTCATCGCGAGTGAATTAGCTCGCGTGGTTCTTAATTAAATGAAACGAAGAACGCGGATAGAGCAGAAGAGCGAAAAAACATAATAAACTATGTTAATGTTCCGCGATTTGGACTCGCGTGCGGAGACTGAAGCCATGCCAACATCCGTTCTATAGATTATTGCTTATCCGCCACCAATCTGCAAATGGTCGCGTCGGCGGAAAAACAACGGAGAGAAACCTAAATTCCTCTCGCAATAAATGGCGGGGGGACATAGGGGGAGGGATGACCGAACCGGGATGTATGCTCGCTCGCGGATGTACAGGAAATTCGTCTAGAGACCTCGTATTGGCTATCAGGAAGGCCCGGTTGGTTGGTCGTGCATCGCGTCCAGTCTGCCTGCGCGAAGTTGCGCCAAGTTCCGCAATCGGTCCAATTCCCCCGATCCTTCCCTCCGCAACCCCATTCTCCCTCCTGCCCGACTGATGGTTCTTTTTCTCCCCGATATTCTGTTTCCCCTCTTCCTCCTCTTACCCCTTTTCCACCCCCCCTGGTCAAGCCTACATTCGAGTTTTCCTCTTTCTGCACGCGGTCGCCCCTTCATCGCTCGCCACTCAGACTTCAATTAATTTCGCTGGTTCTGGGCCGACCGTTTTCCAATTTCGAGTTTCTACGATGAACGCGAGCGCTCTCGATAGGCAGGGATCCGTGCAGGGTGAAGGGGATGCTGGGGAAGTGAAACAGCGAGAGAGAGAGGAGATGCACCCGGTGTGTATGCATCGTCACAATTGCGTGCGATATTGCGAGAGAGAGAGAGAAAAACTTAACATGAAAAATTAATTACATATGCGCATCGCCCCGAGGACGTCTCGGAACCGCGCGGAGACATCCTCGTCGTTGAGATTACCATCGGGGATTGCACATCGGACCGGAAACCGCGCGGGGCCTCCGCGTTTAATATTCACATCCGTGTATTTACATATACGAGTTGTTTTTGTAAGTCACGCTTAGCATATTTATATCCGCTCTATTCTGTCAAAAAAAAAAAAAGATCGCTGCGTCATGTCTCTTCTTGCTCATCTTATTTGGCGTTAAAGCGACGCGTAACCGCGGGTACAATGCAAGATGGACTCCTTCGGTGCCTTTAATTTGCGCGTATAATATCCGCGCGAATCTCTCTCTGTGTGTGAAACAGAGCGATGCAATTCCACACGCGTGAGACACGTACACGAATCGCCGAATGATCGGGAAGGGTCCGGTGCGCGCCGATTGATTTACAATAGCCGAAGGTGTGGCAGAATCCGACACCAATATCATGCCGTCCGCGCGCGTGGACAATTATCGTCCTGGACAAAGGCTACGTGTGTGCGCGGGGGTGTGTACATACATCTATATATCCGGTGGATATGTGCATATATATATATATATTCATTTAGCTTGCGGCTCTTTACGCAGCTGACGCGTCTCGTATTAAGAAAACGCGTAGGCTTCGTCGTGTACACGTGCGTGGGCCAAGAAACACACCCGCACACACACACACACACACACATACACATACATATATATGTATGTATATACGCATGCAACTCGAACAAAATGTAATCCGAACGCTCTCGCATACTTCATGGAAGGCAGAGCAATGGAGCCGTTTATCTATGAATCGCGAAGAGCGAAATGGAATACTTTTCTTTGAAATTCGCGGCGCAAATGTGACGCACGTGAGACTTACTTTGTTGCGATTTTAAGTAACAATATTTTCATAAATTACTATGTTTGTATTTAATATACATATACTGAAAAGAATTATTAAATTAATAAATATTTATTTCAATACTGCCTATAATCAATCATTTATTTGAAACAAATCAATATTTATCTGTTTTGAGAAGAATTTTCTTATTAAATAAACATTTTCACATCAAATCGATATTATTAGTTTCAAATAAATGATTTATTAAGCAATATTGAAATCAATATTTATTCGAATTTACATTTTTTTTTTCAGTGTACTGTTTTCTAGCAATCCTGCAAAATGCTTAAAACATCATTTCTGTTTTTCATAGTTAGCATAATTTATACCACGTAAATAGTGTAAGAAATGATTTTCCAGAGAGCACCATGTCCAAAATTGACGCATAAGAAAGATTTCTTAAAGATGTTTTATGCGCTAATTTTGGACATGTCCAAATCAAATATATTTTTCTTCATATTAAAAGATTAATTTCAGCTTAATTTAAGATACATCTTCAAGATTTCTTAAAGATGTCTTATGCGCTAATTTTGGACATGGTGCTGTCTGGGTTTCTAATTATTTTCATCAATATTAAATAAATTGAAGAGTATAAATTTTTCAATTTATTAAGAAAATTAAATTTTAAAAGTTTATAGTTGGGGACTTAAATATTCGAAAAATCGTTTTACAATCGATATTTACAGCCGACTGTGTGCAAAATTTAAAATTAAGCTGAAATAAATCTTTTAATATGAAGAAAAATATATTTGATATTGAGAAAGGTAGAGAGTGACATAAACAAACGCTGCGAAACATTCGAGAAGAATATTATACAACATTGTTTGAATACGGACGCGTCGCGTCGCGCCAAATGCAAAATCGTCGTACCGTTCATGAGAGAATCGAAGCTCAAACTCCGGAATAATGTTAGGAAAATACGAGCGTGCTTCTCGAAGCGAAGAGACCGCGTTTCCCTTTCCTAGCACACGGAACGGGACATTCTCACCGTCCGAGTGTCCCGCGAATTGCATTGTATATCGCGGCAACATCTCAACAACGCCGGTCGCGAAGGGTTCCGAATAAATTTACGTAACGATGGGGATATACATAGAGCTGTGCGAGCGTATGTGCGCGGAGAGTTTGTGCATCGGTACGTGGATGCCGAAGCACGTGGCGCACGTTACTTTGCAAAATAATGCTAATAACGCGTAACCGTGTTAAGTTTCTTGATTTATCGTTCGCGTACTGCTAGAGTGCGTCTACGAACATTCAAGATAGAAGAGAATTGCACGATCACAAAATTCATAACTAAATATGATTTCAAGGATGATCTTGAAAGATATATATATTTTCAAGAATCTCTCTTTGGGATCTTAGGATTGATATAAGTGCTGGATGAAACGGAGAGACATATATATCGTAATGCGGTATCTCGATTTTATTAGAATATGTAGATATACGTACCTTACAATGTATGTGTCTTATATATTTGATTCTTTATTGAAATTATTCCTTTCGCGTGTCATTTTAAATAACAACACGTTTCAGCAAAGAATAAGATATTTTTTTACTTTGAAAAGAATAGATATGCATATTCTTAATAGATTTCATAGATTAATAGAATTATTTTAGATTTCAATAATTGTTTGGCATACAATTTACATATAAAATATTAAATAGAAATGTGCATACACTGAAAAAAATTGTTAACTTGATTAAATCTTTCAACTAAATTACCATTTGTTAATTGAACATATATTAATATTTAAGTCAAATACATATGTTAAATTATAATATGTTACATTTAATTTAAATATTTTTATATGTTCAGTTAACAAAATATTTAGTTGAAAGATTTAGTCAAATTAACAATTTTTTTATAGTGTACGCGAAAATTTTATATAAAAAATATTTAGAAATATTACTAGCAAAATTTAGCTAGCAAAATTTAACTAGCAAATATAGCTAATTAAAATTTTATGCGTCAGAATTTTTCAGAAATATTAATTTGATATCTCAAAATATACACTGAAAAAAAATTGGTTAACTCGACTAAATCTTTCAACTAAATTATTATTTTATTAATTGAACATATATATTAGCATTTAAATTAAATATATGTTTTGTTATATTTAATATGTTATATTTAATTTAAATATCTTTATATTTTTGAATAGTAAAATAATATTTAGTTGAAAGGTTTAGTCAAGTTGACAATTTTTTTCAGTGTACTTAATCAAAATTTTCTTTTCAACATAATTTATTTTTATAAAAAATTCTAAATAACTCAATCTTACAATTAAATATAAGATATCTATTTATGATACTACAGTCGCTATCTATGAGCCACTGTTGAAATTAACAAGTTCATCTGCTATAGTTTCAGCAGATAACGAAAATGAATCTATTGATAACAATATCGTTATCAATGTATGGTAAATGTACAAAATAGTGTAAAACATGGAAAAATGTTGTTAAACTTTCGATACTATAAAAATATAGTAATAAAAATACAATTTTGCACAATAATAAAATTGTGTTATCGATGAAGATTCAAGAATTGATTTTTATTTTGCTTCAATTTAATTTCTGTAAATTGATATGATGGATTCGATATTTCCTTCATATACATATAACAGATCAGTCACGTACATATCATAATGATAAATTTAACAAAAACAAATAAGAGCTCAAATATTTGTATCATTTTCCTGTTGCTAATGATGATATTTTTATATGAAAATTTCAGGATTTTAGAAATGCGCTGGTAGAAAAAAAATATAGACTTGCATATTTAAAAACATTCATATAAGATATTTTATAAAATTCTATTTTATTATTATTATTATATTTGAAATGTGAAAAAGTACGTGATTTACTGTTAGTCTATAGTCGTATTTGATTAATGATTGATCGAAATTCATATAATATCAAGTCGATATAATATATTTATTATCTATTTCCTTAGAAGTTTTTGTATTTTATTTTTATAGCAATAAACACTTGTGTTATTTTATCATACCCAAACTAATACGTACTTACGTAGTAAGACTGAGTCATATTTAACTTCTTTGTGTGATAAGATTCCAAGGTTTAAGTCACATCACAGTTTCGATACGTTCAGATGCAAGACGTTATTCTGTAAAAAAAAAATTAATTTTATTATTTTTTGTAATAGATTCTCTATCTTCGCTATTTTTAAAAATAGTTTTTGCTTTTCAATTCCGAATATAATTAACAATAACCAAAAAAATGTTTCCGCCCGGGATCGAACCGGGGACCTTCCGCGTGTTAGGCGGATGTGATAACCACTACACCACGGAAACTTGTTGAGAGTAACCTTATACCGTGTGTGTTTTCAAGAGGATAATATTTGAAATTATCTGATATATATGTATATATTGATGTTATATGATATTATTCGACGTGGCTGATTTTAAAAGAAGAATTTTCCTGAAATGAATCTCTATTTAAATTATAACATGTAATATTCTGTGTCACCATTATTAAACTATCGATTTAATCATTTTTATAACTGAAATATTTTTTTATTTGCACTTTGAGAATTTTCATATAAAGATTTTTAAAATACAAAGCAGTATAAAGTCTTACAGATACATTATGAGAGGAATAAGAAATACGTAGTTGAACATAAGAAATTGTATGGCATTAATAATGTATCTTAATGGCATTAATGATGTATCTAATTAGAACAAAAGAAGCTAAATTTTCTTTGTTCTGATTGATCATGTTCTGATTTCAATCTTCAATTTTAGTACATAGCCTAGTATAATATTATTTATTTATTTTTTCTTTACAATTTATTTAATTTCTCATTTTTCTCATTATTGTGTCTAAAGCGAGAATGTACAAATGTATAAGGTTATAAAATATTACATGACTTTTTTGCGGAAGTAAAATATTGATAATAAATATTGAATATGTAAAATCTTGTTTATTTGATGATAAGAAGAATTGTGCAAACATTGCAAACGTAAACGATCAATCAAACGATACGTATATCTTTCAATCAGCTGATCTTGTATCGATATTTGATTAAACTCGACTTGATATCAAAAAAGATTAGTATGATTGTGCATTCCGTCAAAACATTACGAGTCACATTTCATATGTTTTCGACAGACATGATGGGAGGAAAATATTACACATAATAATATCCATTTACTAATAATTTCATCATCGCAGTCGTGATATTTACAAACTTATCATTTATTCTCATGCATAATTATTGATTTCGCAATTTAACTTTGCAATTTGAAATGCAAATGAAGAAACGCAACAATAGTTGTATGTTCTTTATAGTTAATCGCAGCAACAATATATACATTAACTTATCAAATTATTATTTTCCAAATTGCGCTTTTACCTTCGTATATCATCTGTGGTATCTATTTTAGTCTCATAGAAAAAAATTACACTACGAGGACAAACATTAATCATCGCGATAATTTGGTAACGTTACGCGTATGCACAGTAGTTCCGATAAATTGGCGGTATTTTGCTGAATGTCGCCGAGTTTTGCCGAGTCGCGCCGAGTGTCGCCGAGCCGAGTTTTGCCGAGTCGCGCCGAGTATCGCCGAGCCGATTTTGCCGAGTCGCGCCGAGTCGCGCCGAACAGTGTGTTCTTGTTCTCGAGAACGTGCAGGCTGTGTGCGATTCATCATCGTTAAATGTTCTATAGTGATCGGAGCAGTTAGATTAGCCGAGTAATGCGTCATTTTTGGTGCGGATGAGATTGCTTTTACATACTGTCGTTGACTGTCCACGGACCACTGATACGCACGGGATTCAATTGCGCATCGTCTCGTCTTGTCGTGTTATTACGTCGTCCTTGTTAGCTACTTCCGACTGGCAATCGAAAATCGAGCCTTGTTGGAACCATGAAGGAGTTCCTGATCGCGTTCAGCGCGATTCTAGCTGGTGAGTTTTGTTTACGACAAGGCAGATATCGCATTCTGCATTTTCTTTTGTCCCAAAAACTGCGCGGCAGCGTTCTTCTCAACAAAAGATGTCTCGTGTTGTCGCGTTTTTTGCAGCAATATTTTTCCAATCTGCGCACTTTCTTTCGAAATGTTTTCCGTTTGGTTCAAGTCCAAGTTTTCTATATTTGTACTTTGATTTTGTAAACATTGAGATGTTTGGTTTTAGCGAGTGTGTCTATTTAATTTTATTTGATACGTGTATCGGAATTTCGATATTTTCTTTTTTTTTTTTCCTTCGACAGAGGCTGCTTTTCTTTTTCTTTTGTAAGTTTGCTCTTTTCGTCTCGCTTTATTCTTTTTGCGTCGCCGGGTAATCGTATTTCGCATTACTCATTGCAAAGGCATTCTTTACTAGGATGAATAAAATGACTCAGCTAATTTAAACTTATAAACTATTTAGATTTTGATAAATACGCCACTCTGTGTCGGAAGTGCGCTTCACGATAATAATATCACTGATAATATTGTCTTTTGTGTCTATCAATTGTATAATATTTATATTTTCATGTAAAATGATTCTGTTTAAAAATTGCTTGAATTATACACTCATGATTTCCATGAATACATTGACTGTATCATAAATCTGAGACTGCAACAGACTTTTAGTGCTTCCTCGTATAGATTACTCAGCTAATGATATACTATCATGCCTGTTTTGTTTCTTCAGTCTGGCCTAATTTAACTTTAGCGATTCAGCTTAATGCAAAATTCAATGTTATTTAGATCAGGAATGAGATTATAGAAAATGATACAAATATATTTTTTCATTCGCAGTATCCACAGCTAGAATGGTCATAACTGCTGAACAAAGAGATAATTCCCATCTTTTGGGCTCAGATGAATGTACATGGGGTCCAAGTTATTGGTGTGAGAATCTGAAGTAAGTATCAGTAATAATTTAATATCATCTAATAGAAATTTTATATAAATAGAATAGACAGTGAGAAAATTGACTTACAGCATTTTTAAAACATGTATTGCACACTTGTTACATATTAATAATATATGAAGTAGATAATAATAATTGTATAAAAATTAAAATATAAAATTTAATTTTTCTAGATAAATATTTAATTAAAAAAAGATAGAGAAATAAGAATATTTTAGAAATATTTTATTTTAATTGGATTTTTATTACATTAATACTACTGTAGTGTATTTGATTTTATTGTAACAGTATTTTGAATGTATTAATTCTAATAATAGGACAGCTAAGGATGCGGTGCTGTTAAACATTGTATTTATCAATGGGAACAAATAGAAGTGCCAGATGATAACGATAATGTATGTGGAATTTGTAAAGAAATGGTGCAACAGGCACGAGATCAATTGGAAAGTAATCAGACTCAACAGGATTTGAAAGATGTTTTTGAAGGCAGCTGTAAATTAATTCACATTAAACCCATTGTCAAGGAATGCATGAATATTGTGGATCAATTTATTCCTGAACTTGTGGAAACATTGGCATCTCAAATGAATCCATCTGTAGTTTGCTCTGTCGCAGGACTCTGCAATAATGCTCACATTGACAAATTGCTTTCACAATATCAAACATCAACAAAGGTAAAAATTAATAATTGCTTTTCAGTTTTATATATTATTTTAATTTGTTTTCCTATCTCTATTAAACAAAGATTAGTCAATTCCTCTGTAAAATGAACCAATTATCTCAATCGTCAATCAAATGACCTATTGACACGTACATAGATACGTATGTATTGTATCTATCTATCATCCCCTCACAAGTATTTTGCATAATTTAGATTAGATTAACTGTGAAACTTATTCTATCATAAATAACATTTAATAATATTTCTACATGATTATTATTTTATTTAATTAATTATTTTAACAAAAAGTTGATAATAAAAAGAATATGTTAAATTTTATTTACATATTTGTAAATAACAGCTGATAAAGACTGCTTATCATTAAAGATTGCTATTTATTTAGTCATGCGTAAATATGATTGATAATATGAAACATAATTATTGATAACGAATGTTATATTTTTAGAAGGATGAAACAAAATCAGTTTTATTGAAGAATGATGAACTCGAGCCTGACGAATGCACTAAATGCTACACAATAGCAAAGTATATGGAAAACAAATTACATCAAACATCGCAACAAACAATGTTTTTGCAATTTTTGAATATTTGCGGCAGATTTGATTCTTTTTCGGATTCATGTTCGGCTATTATTATGACTCATTTTAATGCCATTTATGATCATTTACAAAATAATTTCAATGCAGATAACATATGTCACTTATCAGGACAGTGCAGTAACAATTACCATAAACATGAAGACACTGCTGATGCAGTAAGTATTATTAATCATATTTAATTGACTTAAGAATTGTTTGTTAAAAAATATCTTTTACAATGTTTAGGTTCCAAAAGTAGAGATAACACCGCTATCAAGTGTTGGCATGGTAGAAGTTGGAGATGATCTTCCATGCAAACTATGTGAACAACTTGTGGGTCATTTGAAAGATCTTTTAGTTGCAAATACTACAGAGATAGAATTTAAACAAGTACTTTTGGGTCTTTGCAAGCAAACGAAATCTTTTGCTGATGAGGTTTGTGCTGATGTGGTTTAAATAAACAATTTTTACATTTTTGTGTATAATATTTTTTAACATAATTTTTTTTTTTAGTGTAAAGCTATAGTTGATGAATACTATCAGCAGATTTATGAATATCTTACAAAAGGGCTGGATAGCAATGTTGTCTGTCAGTTATCTGGTATTTGTCCCGGTCCTGGTAAAACAATACAAGTAAGTAATATATAAATAATATATAAATATGTTTTTGAATTATATAAGTATAATAAATAGATCTTTTAAAATAAAGAGTAGAACTAACTATGCTTTATTTTATATTTCCTAAAACAGGGACCAATTTGGCCTTTAATTCCAAAAAAACTGACAAAAGTAGGATTAAATATAATGAATAACAAACAAGATCAAAAAAAAATTGAAGTGACTATTGGCAAGGATCATCCAAAATCAGAAGCTGAAGAAATGCAATTACCAATTGAAAGATTAATGCCTTTCCCTTTGCTGCAAGAGGAAAGTATTAATGGAAAGGAAGCATGTGCACTGTGTGAATATTTGTTACATTATATACAGGATACTCTTACAAATCCTACAAATGAGGTAATGAATATTAATTTTTATATAAATGACAATATATGACACATGTAAAATATATTGAAATTAAAAGCATATTAAAATTTAAGGAGGAAGTGAAGCAAGTCCTTGGAAAAATATGTAAACGGTTACCTTCCATTGAAGGCACATGCCAAGAATTTGTGGATACTTATGGAGATGCAATTGTGGCCATTCTTGTTCAGGAAATTGATCCATCACAGGTAAATATATTCTTATATTCTAGAGTACAAAATCTGTAACGTATATTTTAATATTTAATCATTTAAGGTGTGTCCCATGATACGTATTTGCCCATCAGAAGTATTCTTTGATAAATTGAAACAAATTCCTAAAAGTTTCATTCTTACGGAGGTACAGGATAAGCCAAGTTGTCCACTCTGTCTGCTTGCAGTGAGGCAAATTTATGAAGTTATCAAAGATAATAAAACTCAGGTACTAGTTTGCTACTTATTTTTTTTTTTTTTTTTACAATAACTATGATTCTTAATGTACAATTTATTTATTCCATACAATTTTTTACATTACAAGCAACAATTTACATTACAGGCTAATATTGAAGCTGAATTAGATAAATTATGTAATCACTTGCCACATAGCTTGACCGACGAATGTACAGATTTTGTGAAGGCATACAGCAAAGAACTCATAGAGATGCTAATGGCAGACATGACACCTTCAGAAGTATGCGTTTATCTTAAATTGTGTGACCAGAATAAAGATCCTGGTCCAAAGCATGGTTATATTCAAAAGGATAGAGAAATATGTAAGTTTTTTTTCCAAAGTTTACATAAATGATATGTGAAAAACTCATCATTTAATTTGATTAATTTGTGACAGAAATATTTTTGAGAAATTGTTTAATCTTTTTCTTTGAACATTTCAGTAACCAACGAGATACCTAATTATCCATTACACACAGTTCAGGCAGAGAATACTTTAAACGACGGAGTATGCACAATTTGTGAATTTGCAATGCAATATGTTGATAAAGTGATTGGTAATAAAAAGACGCGAGATGAAATCGAAAGAGCGGTACACGGTGTATGCAATCATTTACCAAAAACAGTTGCCAAGGACTGTAATCAGTTTGTGGATGAATATGCTGATGCTTTGATAATTATCTTATCAGAGGATGTCAGTCCCAAAGAAGCATGTACTTTGCTTGGCCTTTGCAAAGTTAGCATGATACAAATTCAAGGTATGATAATTCAAACAAGGAAATATTAATTGTATAATCTTAAACGATATACATATATGAAAATTTATATTTTGGTTCAATTTGTTTCCACAGAATCTGTAGCAGAATGTGCCTTATGTCGAGCGATCATATCACAAATTGACAAATTGTTGGGTAATCCAAAGGTTGATGCTGAAATTGAAGAAGTTGTTAAAAAAGTCTGCAAATATTTACCTGTGAATAAAGAAGCTAAGGTATTATTTTACGATTTTTCAAGAAACATAATGATAAATTAAATAAATTTAATAAAAATAAAATTTAAATCTATACAGTGCAAAGCAGTGATAGAAATTTATGGACAGAGTATAATAAATATGATAAGAGCTCACGTGGATAGCGAAAAAATGTGTGAAAAAATGGCTTTGTGCTCTTCCAATGATTATTTTGCTATGTCATTTAAGAATTCACATGTGTAGCTAAACAATGTAATGTAAGTATACAAACGCATGAGACTTAATTGAAAATTAATAACAAAACTTTATTATTGCTTTGTTTTTAAATTAGGTTACACGAGAAAGTGAAGATTATCGAAAAAAATGGTGAAGTTGCATAAATCACATCAATTACGAGTGACGATTACAAGCTGGAAATGTAATCTAATAACAGAAAAATTCTGAAAAATCGATGAAAAATATAATGCGTTACTATTCTCGATTGGTGGTTAGGTTTCCAGAAATTTCGTAGCCATATAGGAAGTAGCCTATTTCGTGTTATAATATATATGATCTTTATATTAATCTCTGCTGTATCGGAGACTTTGAATAATATTGATCTGTGTAAACGGGTGCGATAAATGCTATACCATTTTTCTTATAAACCAAATATTACATGTAGTCTATCATACTGATATTACATTGATATTACGAAAATTTGTATAAACCTAGATAACAAGAATCTCTATTCTTCAGTTATATAAAGCTGCTTTTGTTATCAGAACAATGGCAACATTATAAAGGTTTAAATTACGTAATAAGCGCTTTTCTTTCATTTATTTTTTTTAAATATGTATAGTGTGCAATGATCTATTTTATTTCAAGTTTACCTGTGATAACAGAGTTTAACAAAACTGTGTAATTCTGCTTTGCGAATTATATATATTTCTAAATATATACGATATAAATTGTATTTCTTTAATAAACATACTTTTGAAATATTCTATTTAAAAAATTTCTAAACCAGTTTCTTTCTCTTGAAAGTAGTGTTTAGATTTTGAAAAAAAGTATTCTCTCTGAAATTTTAAATATACATAGAACACGTGATCAGAAGCGAGAGCCAATCGATTTACAATTTGTCCGTAAGAGCGAAAATTTGATTGGTTGGCGCGTCTCTTCTCGCATCACGTATCTTGTATGTCGTATTTACGCAAAAGATACAAACTTCTAAATTATTTTACAATGTATACTCAACGTCATAAATGTCGTCCAGTTTAGATATATTTTTAGATGTGTGTTTAGAGCTGTATTTTGGTACTGTCAGCGCAAAAGTACAATACAGGTTGCGTTGAATTATCGAGTTTCACATTCTAGATATTCATGCATCATGGCCATTTGCGCGCGCAACTTCTTTTGTGATCTAACGTGCTAACGGCACGGTCGCCATATTAGTGGACTGAGTCGTTTCCGATTGTTTTCGCGTCTGTGGATGGTTTTCAGGTATCGTACTCGGTAGAATCTACCCTGAAACGTTTCTTTTGCCAACAATTTGTGTGATTGCTCCAATTTCATTGATTTATTTTTTTCTTACAGAGAGAAAGAGAGTCGTTTTCATCGGCGTTTCACCGATTAGGTGCAACTCATTTTCTCGCCGAGTTTTGGGCTGCTACTGCACGTTGCCAAGATGATGTACACAGTAAGGGAAACAGCATTAATGGCTTTTATTTTCTAACATAATCTTCTGATGAATCTGAAATTGATTTTTCCTTGATGAGTTTTTAATTCAAGGCGCATTAACAATTTTCATTCTAATGACTAAAAATAGACTTTGCAAAGTAACTTTAAAAGTGTAAATAAATAAAGTGTTATTTTTTATTTAATTTTAACAAGAGAAATATTACTTTAACAAATTATCAATTTGAAGATTAGAAGAGTAAATTTGATCATGATCATTATCTGTAATTTTGCTAACAATAAAAGATAATCAATTTTTTCAGTGAAGAACATTTTCAAACAGTAATAATTTGCAATTTTTAATCTAAATCATAATCTTTTTCTATGAAATTTTATTCTTTTATTTATGTTTCAGGGGACAACTGCTTCGCAGGATACAAGGTTCAGTGACAAGGAGAAGAAGCTTCTTAAGCAAATGAAATTTGGAGATTCATTAACACAGAAAGTAATTAATATTTTTTATATTTTTAACAAATTGTTATACTATTTTAATATGTTTATATCTATTGTGCGTTTGCTATGAATTATAGAGGTAGATTGTGTTAAAATAATTAAAATACACACACTGATAAAATTTTTATAAAAAAGTAAATTTTGCAATTGTGAGAAATCAAATCTTATTATATATATGTAGATATATTTAATATTTATTATATGTACACACAGATATAGTTAACTATCAAAATTTTCGTTTTTTTAAATATTATTTATTCTTACAATTTGAGTATTTTAATGTATTAATACATCAAATACAATTTTTCTACATAAATTAAAAAAAAATATATATAGAAGATGTATATAAATGTTACTGACTTAAAATTATGAGATACTATAAGGCTTTAATGCATTTGTCACAGGTGGATATGAGCAAAGTAAAACTTGACGTAATTAAACCGTGGATTACAACGAAGATTACACAGATTCTGGGAATGGAAGATGACGTTGTAATAGAATTTGTGAATAATCAGCTTGAGGAGAAGGTAAGAGATATATTGCATTTAATCAAGCAAAAATTGATTAGAAGTAAAGTTTTTAGTGCAATTTAGTTCGTGAAAGAGCAATAATGTCAGTAATGCGTTCACTTGGCTTTTTCCCCTCATCATTATAGGAAACCGTTAAATATACATTATTTCAGCACGATGTTTTCGTACAAATCGCAAGCATTCATTATTCAAACTTTGCATGACGTGCTGAGTTTGGATAACACAAAGCAATGAGGCAGATGTTCTCTTCTATTTTACATGCCGCATTGTTTTTTTTTTAATTTTTTTTATTTGACTTCCATAAAGTTCATCATCCTTCAGTATTCCTTATTATTAATCGGTCCATATATCTCCTTCCAAGCATATCCACTTTCAACAAAAGAAAAAAAAAACAGAAAAAATTGATCTGTAGCTGATCCTGCCATATCAAACTATATAAAGTCAATCTTTCATATATGTTTGAATTCCCCGTTAGTATAAGTAGAGACCGTTGGTGGGGCTCAACCCTTTTGTCCAAATGGCATTCGGATGTGCTCCTCTCTACATCCGATTGGCTGCCTTTCTATCAGCCGTCAGCCCTAATGTCAGCTGTGGTGGCAGTTGGTATGTCAACGTCACCTTAGAACTGCCGCAAATCTTCAACTTCAGCAGCTACGTCATCGCCGCAGCTACTACACGTCGTCAACGTCGCAGGACCATCAGCGATACTTTCATCACGTCAGGTTCCTGACTCCTGCTTCTCGCATCCCTTCCCAGAGCTGCGCGCGACGTCTTGCCGTGCAGTACCAGCATCGCCATGCAGTACCAACATCACCTGCAGGACCATCACTGCCTGTTGCAGCAGATGTTACTTCGTGCAGCTACCTCGACCGAGGTAGTTTATCATCGTGAGCTACGGGATTTCGAAAGCCTTGCAGCTTTCGAGGATCGTCCAAGGATCTGCAGTTTCCCGATGGCGTCATTCTTCTCCTGGCATGTCATTTTGGGACTTTGGAAGCTTCATCTCGTACCGCGAGCTATTTCTCCGTTGGAACCGCTGATGTCGAAGGCCAAAGAGCGAAATCGTGCGCCCACCACGATTTCGAACATCGGTTCGCAAAGGACTTCGATATTCTTCCGGACATACTGTCGGTCACATATCGGCATGATTCAGGCGAAAACAGCGCCCGGTGGTATCCCTACACATGACGTTTGACTCTTTGTCATTGTCACAGGTTGGTGCAAAGGTGATCCTTTTATACGACATTATCTCTACGATTTTCAGGCGGACATTTTCGCCGGATATTCGAGATATATGCTTTCCTCTCGTTTCAGCACATATATACATACACACACCATCATAACGGTGTAAATATTAAGATTAATGAAGAGTGACGAGGTATCGATCTATTTTGTGCTACTTGCGTTTAATCTATCATAATTCTTTTTTTTTCCTCCAGCATATAACTTTTTAATACAGGTATCAAAGGGTGATCAGCGACATTAATAAGGTGGTAAGGTGCACTTAGACATAATAAATATCTGCTTTTTCGAGGGGGAAAAGCAGTTCAGATAACAGAATAAAAATACAAGTATTTTTTTGTCAAATCTCAATTAAAACTTAACGCAGTATCTTTTTTATCATTAAATTTTGTCTAGACTTGCACTATTTTTTTGTTGCTCTTGCATATAAGGAATTAAATTTGTACGCTATATATTTTACAGTTTCCCGATCCCCGAAAAATGCAGATCAACCTGACAGGTTTCTTGAACGGCAGGAATGCCCGTTCTTTCATGGGTGAATTATGGGACCTTCTGGTCTCTGCTCAAGAAAGTGTTACGGGCATTCCCGAGGCTTTCTTGCAACAAAAAAAAGATCAGATTAAAAAGCGATTGGTAATTATCAATTTTGATTTTTAGATGTGTATTCGTAAATGTAGTATAATTATTAAATGTGGCTGTCTGAAGAATAAAAATATTTATACACAAACATTTATTTATATACATTTAATAATAATTGCGTAATGTTGCACTTTAATATTGTGATTTCCATTCAACAAACACACTATATTATTGCTGCTTTTAAATAGGTATAATTCAATACTACTAGCACAGTTAGCCACATTTAATATTTGTATAATACATAATACATTATGTACATTATGAAAGATTTTGATAGATAAAAAATTGTGAAGAGTAACCAAATTGATTTTTTATTATATCTTACACTTATTTTTTATTATATCTTTGATTCATTATCATATTTTTATCATGTATTCTATGAAGTTTTCTAAAATACATAAACAATTGAATTACTATATTTTGACATTCACTGAGATGTTCAATTGAATGTAATAAAATGGATGACATCAATTTTAGTTTAGTTATATTTAGTTGTAAAATAACGATATCTTGTAAAAAAACGAAGGCTTACATTATGTTGTAATATGTTAAATATTAGGAAGAACAAGAGAAGCTTCAAGCATCATTAGCGGAGAAAGAAAAAGAGAAGGAGCGCGAGAAGGAAAAGGATGACGCGGAGAGTAAAGTGAAAAAGGACGAGAAGGATAGCAGCTCATCGAAGGAGCGTAGAAGAGATCGAAGCAGAGATCGTGATAGAGACAGGTACATTGAGGAAAACATAGTGTTCGAAAAGTATATATAATTATATTTATGTATTTCTCATTTTTCTTTTATAATTTTTACGTAGAAGAGGAAGGAGTAGATCGCGGGATCGACACAGAGATCGCGATCGTTCGAGTCGTAAAAGAAGATCCGCTTCAAGATCACCAAGTAAAAATTCACTAAAAGACAACGGAAAAGATATGCCGGAAGCTAAAATTGAACGAGAAGACTCGCCGCAACCGGAAAATGCCATACCTTTGATGCCAGTTAAAACCAAGCCGTAAGCAACATAATCACATATTTACATATAAAATAGGAATACATTATTGACATATAAAACAAATCGAAATCTTATATATTTGCAGGGAAGCGGCGGTAGCAATATCAAGATTGCAAGCCAAATTGATGAGCATTGCTGATGGAAAGAAAAAGAATAATCGCACGCCTTCGCCAGAATCGTTGGACAAATCGACAAGGAAATCACGATCTGGATCTAAATCGCCGGTGAATCGTTCAAAAAAATCCAAGTCCAAGTCACCTAGCCGGGATTCGAAGACGCGTCGATCACGATCGCCTGCTTCGAAGTCGAGACGATCCCGCTCCAAGTCAAGATCTCGGAGGTCCCGATCTAAATCCAGAAGAACCAAATCGCGCTCGCAGGACCGCATCAAGTCAAAGCGAAGCAAATCCAAATCGCCGAGATCACGATCGCGATCACGATCTAAGAAATCGCGATCCAAGAGTGACGATAGGAGCAAGTCGAGGAAATCGAGATCCGATTCGAGCGACTCCAAATCTTCTAAATCTCGCTCCAAGTCTCCGGATAAACGAAAGGATAATGTAGACTCTAACAGGAAACGCGACGGTACTACGAGCAGTAGTTCAGGATCCGAGGAAGAAAAAGATGCGAAAGATAAAAACGACTTCGAGATACGGAAAAAGAAGGACGGCGTGCAAGCTAAGAGATCTTACCGGAAAACCAACAAGGATGACAGTGGTAGCGACAGCGATTCTAGTCGAGAGAGAAAATCGGCTCCTAAAAGAAGAAGTCCTTCGCCACGTAAAGATAGAGCTCGGTCCAAGGACCGAGACAGAAATAGATCGCGGGATAGATCGCGAGACAGGTCGCGAGATAGATCACGAGACAGATCACGCGATAGATCGCGAGATAGGAATCGGAGGTGAGATTTACAAATTGGTTATATACATATAAAGCTGTGTAAGAAATATATTTATAAATTCGACATGATATATTAAACAATAAATTCTCAATATTCCGCTCGTATAAAATTTAAACAGTTAATAGCTTAAATAATAGGCCAGATTAAACGAGCAAACGAAATTTAGATGTAAAATTAATTTGTTTTTATTATGCTGAAATTCAATGTAAACGTTTCGACCGTACTCGGTCTTTCTCAATACATATTATACACAAAAGTAAAATTAAAACTACCAGTGTGGCAGAACGTTCGGACTATTAAAAATCATTTCGCAAATATAAATTACTGACCATCTTCAATTTCGCTTTCAATTAATTACAATATTTGAAACAACGAGCCAGTTTTACATTGTTCATCAAAACAATGGTTAATATTGTCGGTGGGTTGCAGTAAAGTTGATTTACTGTAATAATGTGGTATGTAGCATATTTTTGGTTTTTGAATGTATAATTATTTGTAGCGATGAAGTGTATTAAAAGTATAATTATTTTTAGGTAACTTTTTATAGATTTACTTGAAAAGAGCTGCAATGACAGCCGAAACGTTGTATTTCAACTAATTATTTATAATAAATTATTGCCAGTCTGGTCGACTTTTAACTTTGAGGAGTTTTTTATAAAACATTTAAATTATAATATTTTAAAATTAATAATATGTATATAATATTGTCTTATGTGTTTCTTGAAGCGTTTTCTCAATTTATAAATTATCGATTTTTTTTTATAGGAGGTCATTGGACCGAGATCGCGACAGAAGACGGGAGCGAGAGCGTGAAAGGGAGAGAGAAAGAGATAGATTGGATCGGTACAGCGGCAGTCGCGGCATGCGGCCACCTTCTGTGCGCAGACCGCCTAATAGGCGTAGGTCAGTATACACACGCACATACAAACGCAAGTCGTTTATTTCGTGTACATGAAAGAAAAATTGTTCCAGCAGTCCTCCGCGCAGAAGTCCGACAAGATATCGTCGTAGATCACCGAGTCCCGAAGATCGACGTCGCAGGAGATCTTCGTTGGATCGTCGAAGGCGATCGTCAGAGCGACGCGACAGACGTCGATCGCCTGATCGGCGCGGTAGCCGACGTCATTCTCCGGACGGACGGGATCGATCGAGCAGGTACGATAGATCTTCCTCGCGCGACAGATCAAGTAGGCGGGACCGCTCGAGAGAACGACGGGATAAGGATCGTCGGTCTAGATCCAAAGATCGTAGATCGAGATCTAGGGATCAGAGGTCATCGGTGGATCGTTCGAGAGACGGAAAGCGGTCTCCCGATCGTTCGAAGGAGATCAAGGATAAGGCAAGGGACAGAAAAGTGGATGAGAAAGCTAAAAGACCACCTGATACAGGATCGCGAAAAGAATTGCGAAATGGCCGGTCTAAATCGAGTAGCTCGGAAAGTAGCGAGAGTAGTTCCTCTAGCAATGAGGACGAGTCACTTAGGTAAGTGAAATTTCCACTTTGAACGATACTTTTACGGACTCTGCAATTGGTGGATGATGATAATAATAATAAATCTGTGGATACTCATTGTGTGGTGTATTTGTTTATCATTTGTTGAATAACTTTTTATAGTTTGTGCGTGTATGTACACTTTGTGTCTGCAGGAAATCGATTGAGCGCAAAACGTCTCTGGAGAAGCGGGAAAGAGAACGCGAACACACGGACGATTCTAAGAAAAAGGAGAAGGAGAAAACGGTGAAGGAGGAACAATCTAAGCGACCAGAAAAAGAGATCAAGAAGATAGAACCAGTTGCCGTGAAAAAATCGGAACCCAGTGTTTCTCCTAAGAAACTTCAAACTGCGTCTCTTCCTATTACCAGACATAGAGTAAGTTTAATAAAACTATCAAGCTATCAGTAAATAATACATAGAGAAGTTGAAGTATATAATATTATATATTTATGTATAACAATTCTTTTTTAAAATACATTTTTTTAGTTTTCGAAGAGCTTGTCGCGTACACCCTCGCCGTTTAAGAAGACCGAAGATATTGTGGCAGCAACAATTAAAATTAAACAAACTATTAAGTATGTCGCAAAATATTTATTTCGTGAATAGTTTTCTCGGTGTGCTATATTGTTCTCATTGTTAATTATGTTTATTTTCAGGGAAGATGCCAAGGACGAATCGCCGAAGATTGGAGAAACAAATTTCGCCACTGGAGATGCTTTTCCTTTAAAAAAAGATGAGAAATCATTGAAAACAACGAAATTGATAATAGAAGATAAAAAGTCTACTCAGAAATCGTTAGAATCTTCATCTAAAAAACCTACAGAAATAGCCAAAAAAACGAAGAAAGAAAAGCGTGATGATTCTACGGACAGTGAAGATAGCGATGGCGAAAGTAAAATTACATTTTAATTAACTATAGTATATATAGTAAATATCAGTATTTCGTTCTTTTAAGGTATGTTTTTACAGGCAAGAGAAAATCGAAGAAGCCAGAAAAATCGAAGAGATCGAGGAAAGCATCATCAGATGAAGATAAATCTGATAAAAGCAAGGCTGGATCTAGTTCAGATTCTGAAGATGATAAAAAGCATTCAGATAAAAATAAAAAAACTAGAGATACTAATCGAACCGGTAAGTTTTTTTCTTTCAATTTGTGTATCAACATATATGTTAACATATATGTTGACATATATAAGATAAAATTGATATGATTTATAAACATAATTTTTAATATTTTGCAATAGAGTCAACAGATGATCGCAGCAAAGATAGAAAGGATAGCAGAAAACGCGAAATTGCTGAAAATGATTCACGAAAACGTTCAAGAAAGGAGATAGAGGAAGAATTGAAAAAATCAAAAAGATCGCGGAGAGATTCTTCTTCGGGTGAAGAAGAACAGAAATCTAAAAGAGGCAGAAACGAGGATGATAGATCGAGATCTCGAAAATCGAAGAAAGATTCGAGTTCTGATGAAGAGCCTAAGAAAATAAAAAAAAGAAGAGACACTTCGTCAGATGAAGAAAAATCTAGATCACGAAAATCCAGAAAAGATTCGACAAGTGAAGATGAATCTAAATCAAAATCAAAGAAATCCAAACGAGATTCCAGCTCAGAAGACGACGATCTCGGAGATAAAGACGTGAAGAAGAAAAGGAAAATTGACGATAGCTCAGACGATGAAAAAGTGAAGAAGAAGCGTAAGAAGAAGACAAAAACCAGCACCAGTGAATCGGAGGTAAGGACTTAACGAGAGTGACATTTTTTCTTTCAAACTTACAAATTTTTATTGTTATTAATTTTTGATATTTTTCAGGAAAGTGAAATAGAAGAGAAAAAGAAAAAGAAGGAAAAGAAGCACAAGAAACACAAGAAGCATAAGAAACATAGAAAGCATAAGAAGAAGAAGGTAGCGGAATCAGATGAGTCTGATGTAAGTGAAGGTAATACGGAGGAACTGGAAAAGAAACTTCGGGAAAAAGCTCTAAAAAGTATGAAAAAAGGGCATAGTATTGAACGAAGTGATTGAGAATAACATTTGATGATGTGTCATGAATAATATCTCTGTATCGCATAGCAATTTCTAATTTTATTACAAATATGATAACTTTTGTTTCATAACAATACGTACAATTGGATTATTATTTTCTGTATTATACAATATATATATAAATAATCACGCTCAATCCCTTCGGAACATGATCAAATAATATTGGCGAAGAGATTGTGAAATAATTTTCATATAATTACATTGAGGAAAAATATGATTAAAATTTTCTAGTTTTTACACTCCATTCAAATTTATAAAGATTATCATTTTCTTGTAATAGTAAAGTGTACTTACTCGTGCTGATACAGATACTCTTTTAGACTAATATAAAGATTTTTTTTTAATTTGACCTGAATATCAGTTACACATTTCTTCAGACTTCAGTTCCTAAGTACATTAAAAAAAATAGGGCTTGTATACAGCGATTAATTTGTGTTTATTTGTATAAAGTTTAGTTCTTTAATGCAATGTTTAGAGAATACAATAAATAGTATACGAATAATATTACAGAACACAAGTCACACAAGAACTATCAAAAACCCTTTGCAGAAACCTCAGAATATACCCTCGAATGATACAGTCATTTCTATTTTACAGTGACTCCTAATTTCTTCTAGACATCAGAATCGCCATACCGACTTTACCGAATGTGTAATGTAATTTATTTAATAACTTACATAATTGTTTAGTACACGGGAAAAGAAAATATAGAAGTACTCACAAAATCTGAATTATATATTTCTCACAAATTTTTCCTACAACTCTTGATGCTCTTCTTTTATATACACTTTTTATTAAAAAAATTACATTTAAAAAGATTTACGAATTTTCCAACATGCTTTCTAAGTCTGGTGAACAAAATAACTGACTATTTACTGGACCAAGATTGACAAGATCACCAGTTAATGACACAGTATTTACTTTTGCAGCTAAAAGCTCCTAAAATATAATAATTTTATAAAGAATTGCGATATAAAAATATTGTATATTGCAAAAATTATTAAATTATTAAAATATGATTTACCTGTTGGAAATCTTGCTGTATATTAATATCAATGGAAAAATACTTTTCACCAAGACATAATCTTGCTTTGCCAGACTTTAAAATCTCAACTTTGCCTAATAGACCACTTTTTAAGCTATTCAAAGCACAATGCTCGATTTTTGTTTTAGCCTCATTTTCATTAAAACTATTAGAATCATTTGGTCCTTTCGGCTTTGATTCTTCTTTACTAAGTTCCATATCTTGCCAACAGTCTGGAAACTATTAATCAATTGTTAAATCAAGCAATAATTATATCGATAATTGCAACAGTATATATATATATATGTACCCTACCTGCATTAATACATAGGGATTAGTTTTGTTTTCAATTATTTGGTGAATGGTAACTTCCTTTTTAATTTCACTTAAAGTTTCTCCTTTTATATTAAGAACTGTGAAAAAGACAAGTATGTAAGAATTTGATGAAATTATTAGAAAAATTATATTCTTACCTTCACCATTTTCTAAGATTATTGGTTTCTTGTCAATTTCTTCATCATTGTATTCTTCTTTTTCAACCCTTGGCAGTAAAATAGGATCTATCCACTCATCAGTATTTGTACCATCATCGGTAAAATCATCACCTAATATGTTCTTCAATTTGTCTTCTTCTTCTGATTTTTTGATACTTTTATTTAGCTTTGATCTTTCTAGTATTTTTTCAGTACCTGTACGACTGCTGGAACCACCAGATTTTCTACTAACAGTAGGTGGTTTAAATATTCCGTCCGACCAAATACCATCAGACTAAAATACATATGTATATGAAACAATATGATTTATGATAAAAATTGATATTTAATATTTAATGTATATATATATCTGGGATGTACTTGTATTGTATTTCCCTTATCTCCTCTTCCACGCCTATTATTTTCTCTTATTCGTCCTCTTCCAAAATCTCTGTCCTTTGGTTTCGGAGTGTCAATCTTAACTGGTGTTACTTCCCTGAAAATGAATTTATCTTTAGTATTTATGAAATATGCCATACAGAAAATAATATATCACTTAATACAATCCCTTACTCTTTTTTCTTGTTCCTCTGCACATTAACATTTGGTATATACACCTTCTTAGACTTTTCAGGCTTAATATTTCCACCTAGGGTCAAATCTCGTGGCAGTCTGTAGGATGTTAGCCTCTGTGTACCTGGCTCCATTTTTATATTTAACACCACTCGACGCTAATGCTCGATTTATATATTATTTTATAAACGACTGATTATATACTTAATGTTTGTGACTACAATTCTTAACCTCAATTACGAGAGAAAGTATCAACTCGCGCGAATAGAGTTGTGTTGTGTGACGACGCACTGCGAGTATCGATACTCTCGAAGAGCGATACTTGCGAGAATCGATACTCGCAGCGCTGCCTTCTCTTCGATAGCTTTCGAATCGCAGCCATATTTATATTTGCGCCGTGACGGATGTCGGATCGTCGGTGTTCGGGAGTGTTAAATAGTAAATTTTCGAGTGCGAGGAACAGTCGGGAGTGCCATAAAGTGTCGAGTGTTCGTCGCGTAACGTGTGTTAAACATCGTGTGCCGATTTATTGCCGAAATACGTCGATTATCGTCGCTTCGGAGTGTCAACCATATCGATGCTCCTGGGTTCCCGCAACCGACCGACATCATCTTCGGTACACCAGGATCTCTTTCTCTGCGACAGACACCGAAGCTACAAGGAGCTCATCAACGTTCCACGAATAAAGGTACGTGAACTAATTAGCTGTATCCACTATGATCCATTATGACCGTCTAGTAATAGAACGAATAGTAGATGAACGAGGATAGCGCGCCATTTTCTGACGATTGCGCGCGCTTTTGCGGAGCATTGTTTATAACCATAAATCTAGTGTAAAGAAATCTTGATTGAACCACAATTATCCTTATTCTAATAATATATATTTATCAAGAGGATAGTCTTTAGCTTTCATCAATCCGAGAAATCTGAAAAATATATATACGTTCCATTTTTGGAGCTTTTCTGACAAGATAATTTATGGAAATGTTTCTCACAAAAAATGAAACGTTAGATGAAAAAAGAATCGAAGAGATCACTATATGTACAATTATTTTCCAAAATTTTGCGATGCACATCCTCCTCGCTCGTCTCTCGCGCAGCAGATAAGCGGTATCGCGGCGCAGACGACGGGCGACGTTTTCAGGACGACTAGTAGCATAGTGACATGGGCAGGAGGAGAGCATAGCCGGTGTGGATGAGGTCATCGTATGGTTTTTTAGCTGCGCCGCGCACGCCGGCAGTCGCGACGCGGAGCGCCCGAACGCCGGCCGCTGCACGCGTTCCCGCTGCCGCCACACGCGAGCGAGCGGTGGTCCTGCGAAGGGAAAGAGAAAGAGAGAGAGAGAGAGAGAGCCAGGACATGCGACGACGTGCCACGTGCCACGGCGCCGTGCATGTCAGCCGTGCCCGCGAGTGCACCCAGATCGTCGTCCTCCAGCAGGAGGTGAAATCGCCCTGATATTCGCTCCCTTTTCCCGATTTTTTGCGTTACGATCGAGAGAGGACTCCGCGAATTCCCTCGTCGAGATCGTACATCGAAGTGAATCCCTCTTTATAGTTGAAGTTTCCTCGCAGAGGATCCCGCGGAGCGAACGTTAACCCGCGATCTTGATCGACAATGTGAGAAAGGGCGAATTTGATTTTTGTCTTGTTTTTTTTTTTTTATATGCAAGATGTTTGTTTTCATCGGTACCATGGAAAAGTGAGTGAATCCTGTCGCGGAGAATGAGGTGTTTTGCGAAGATAATTGCTGTCCGCGTGTTGATTGCTTATTAATCGATTTAAATTTCTAACAAGAAACGAGTCACTTTCTGATTCAGTCACTTATCGGATTATTTGTATCATTCCTTCACAAGTACTCTCACACACTCTCTCTCTTTCTCTCATTATTTTCATAATTTGCTAATCATCGCTTTTGCAAGAAATATGCCTTGACAAAGAGCTATGTTTTTAAAGATATTTATACCCCTCAACAAGTATAATTTACATGAAGACTTTCTCCATGATGACAGTTTCTTCTATAATTTCATACGATTATTTTCATAATGCACAGTTGTCGCAAAAGAGTTACAGGTCGTTGCGCATGATAATCGTATTCGTGTTATGATCGTTTATGCGTGTCAGAAATGGGGAATTAAAATCGGTACAATTTCAGTGAGTTTATGTTTCTATACTATCGAGATATGAAAATAATCTCTATATTTGTCTGTAAATATAGGCATAAGATACATTTTCCCTATCTTATCTATATATACATTTTTTAATCTTATCTTGCATAACATCGAATTTCTCTCTATAATATCAAAATGTTGAAATATCGTTCATTATATATTAATATGTTATATATTACTTATAAATTATAGTATATATGATGATTATCTTCTATTCGTTAGTATTCGCATCAGCACAGAATTTAACATCAATCTTTCTCTTATTCATAATAGCGATCTCTCATGAAATTGCAATATAATTTGAATTCGTAAATAAATGACATCGCAAAAGCGTCGAATTGATTTTAAAGCACCGTTTCCGTTTCTCGGCTGTAGAAGAGCGGATTTGAAGTTCGGTTGGCCGCGCATCGTTCTTAAACCTGTTCTGTACTCCCCCTCAGACATCGGATACATCGACGAGTTTTCGAGCAACCGATGCATCTGAGAGAACGTCTTCCTGAAAATCTTTCGCGCGCACACCGAGAATCTTTTCTTTCAGAATCTTTCATTTTTTAGTACTTGCAGAAGATCTCACATCTTCGAATCTTTACTTTTTTCAGACATCTCGCGTTTTTTACACGAATGTGTAACCTCGATGCTTAAACGGTTAGGTGTTTAAAAAATTTTGGCGTGGGTTTCAAAGAAATTTTAATAATTTTATTGTAGAAGTGTTCACTCCATCATTCTTTTTTTCTTATATTTACTTTTATTCATATTATCCATATAATTCGTTTCTGTTTACAACCTAACAATAACGAGAATGTTAATTCGATTTTATTAATAATTCATTTATATATTGATTATAGATTCAAAAATAAAATACGAATATAACAATAAAAATATTTTTTAGGATTTAAAATTAACATGTTAATTATTCAAAATCTTAATTGCTCCGAAACGTGAATCAACGGATGACATATCGCGGTTTGCAGATATATAAAAAGACTGTGCGTACAGGCCTATTCAACAATAAAGATGAAAATGTTTCTAGAAAATATTGATAAGAGAGAATAACACAGAGGGAATAACAGAAAAATATTATTAACACATTTGAAACGCGTTGCTGTACGACTGTACAATATACACTGTACAATATTACAGCGCATTAATGGATTTAAATTCTTTTTCTTACAAAAATATGTATTTTAGTTAAATAAAATAAAACATATTAATATGTTGTTACGTGAAAAAAATCACTTTAAATACCGCTATTAAATATCATAAATATAATTATCATAAATGTATAAACTATTGTTTTATATACTCGCAGTTTTTTTGAAATATTCTTTTCTTTCTTCTTATTGAGCATTAAATTTATTTATTTTATTATATTTATGATTATATTTCAAGGAATATATGTGCTAAGATTTTAAATATTAAATTTAAATATTAAAGTGACACACATATATTGATGGAATACAAAATCTGAATATTTTAAATTAAAGATTAGATAGAAGATAGAAGATAAGAAGAAATACGTAATTAGATTTTTTATTTTATATTGAGGAAAATGCAATAAAATATTTATATATTTATATAAGGCATATATATTAGTAAATATTTATTTTAATAATACAGGCGATCTTTCTTATCTCTTTTAATCTAGTTTCTAGGACAATTTCTTTGGTATGCACGAGCGCGTGCTCGGAAAACACGTGCTCCTGAGCGTTGCGATGCGCATGCGTGCATCTTCGAGACGTCGCATTTTAAATCTTGCGTCTCGCAGATAGAAACGCGCATTCCTCGCTTAAATGTCGCACGGTGTTTTTTCGTAAGAAACGATCGAATAAATTGTCAATTATTTTGCATTCTACAAAAAAATTCGTCATCATTCAACAAGCTATTTTGATTTTTATAATATCGCCAATACGACGATAACAATTTTAATAATAATGTAAATATACGTGTATAATACTTACAATGTAAATTAGTATCTCGCTCAATTAATTTGAGCAAGTTGTCGTTTACCGATCACAAATATTCAAGTGTTCATATAAAATTTACGTGTTCCGAAAGCTGACGCTAATTACGTAAATAAGTTTTTGAATTTTGACATGTGTGATAAATCAATAGAGAGTTTATTAATAGCGTAGAACGCAGATTCTCGGTCGGGAAAAGTAATATTAAATGTACTCTCTCGTTGTCGATCCTGCTCGCAAAAGATTTTTTACAAGGAAGTGTCTGTGAATAGGACTACGTAAAAAAATTGTGAATTGAAAATCGAGAGCATTAATCTATTGGAAAATGAACGGTGTGCCACGGACTCATATAGAGGCCTTCGATGTCAAGGTGAGCTGTACTTTACTTTATTCTTAATATATCTTTTACGAAGTCTACGCAATTTCACATTATCCAAATCTGATTGATGATTTTAAAATAGGCAAATATTAAAAACATTTGATCTGCTCAATATAGAATACATGTTTATTTTTTAATAAAATAATTTCAAAATATTTTTTATAATTTGTATAATAAATTTGTATAATAAATTCTTCTAGAAATATATCAGACAATAAATAACATTCTATTAAAAAAATTCATTACCCTTTGTAACTTGTTAATTCGTTAATTGTATGCTTTAGCATATTACTTTCATTGATCGAGACGCGCTTGTTGTTTGCACGCAATTGTATATTTAGCTCTCTACATCCGCGTATTTATTTCAGTATTGCCGCAAATTACTTAAATTACATCATTTTGAAAATCGTAATGTAATTAATTTAATGCATTTTTGAAATAGAAATTACTGAATAAAGCAGTTTACTATACAATGTTAAAGAAAAACATTTTGTAGAAAGAGAGAAAAAGAGAGAGGTTTGAGGGAGAAAAAGAGATAGAGAGAGATATGGGAAATTTAAATGTATATTCACTTTGAGATACGTGAAATTATGTTCTTGTGTTTGAAATATATCTTCCTATTAAAATACTTTAAACTATCGATACCACATATTTAATCGAACAATTCTAAATGTACTTTTCCATGGCTTTATGCTATTCGCCGAAGGCTCCGTGTCTAATGGATCGAATCGATGCGATTTGAGTTTGTACAAGGTACAATCATGTCACACGTGTGCAATGACGATC